CAGCACAGGCGCGGCACGGCGCCCGCCGCCGCCGCCACCCCCGTCTCACTTGGGCAGCCCCCAGGACATGGCGGCAGCAGGGTTCCCGCGGCCCGCAAAGCCCCGCGAGCGCTGCCCCCGCCGCCGCTCCCCGGCCGTGCGCCCGCGCTCCGGACGCCAACGGCAACCGCCAATCCCTGCCAGCGACCTCACAGACGCTGGCCAATGAAGACGCTACGGACAGGAAGGCGACGCTGCTTTCCCGTCGTCCCCCCCGCCGCGCCGCCCGCCAGCGGCGCGGTCAGCCCGCGCGACCCGTGCCGCAGAAGGCAGGCAGCCGTCCCTCCGGGCCTCCCGGCCCTACCGACACACCGCGTAAGCTTCATCGGACACGGGGGAGTGTCAAAACGATCCGTTCGCGGCGGTGGAGAACAAGTGCAATTAACCGTAGGTTACAGAGAAGGGAACATTCACGAGTTTGCAAAGATGCCAGGAGACTGGGAGAGGACGCAAAGGGCAAAGCAGGGGTTTATCAGAATGGGATTTTCTGAAAGTTTATCTTGTAATGAGAATGCGATTTAGAAAGTAGCCTGCCTCATACACTGACCAAGATGAAAGCATCTGGTACACTACCTTATGCAGAAAACAGTACGTTGTTGTGAGTCGTCGATGTATCTGTGTGTGAACACGTCAATCGTTGCCACAATCAGTGACCTTTAGAAGCATTTATACCCTTGCAGGATAAAGCCTTTTGAAAAATACTTTCATGTCACTTAGGTGAAACCACTCTGAAGTTTCCTGCAGCTTCTCCCAAAAACTGTAACCAAATGAGCTGTAATTTAAGTCAAATAGATATTTGCTGTAACCAACAACAGATGAGGAAAATAGAATTTTTCTTCTTCACTGGCCTACTGTTAAAAAAAAAAAAAAAAAGAGAGGGGGGGGGTTTTAAAAGCTTCCTTTGCCAAAAACTGAATACTTTCACCCACTGCTCCAGCGTGCTGTTCCATCCCATTAAATAATTGAAATACTTCACAAAGTCACTGAGGCAGCCACTGCTATCCATTGAAAGAAATGTTCTGTCAAAAAGGGATTTATGCAGCAGTCTTCCTGGATTAACCAGGATGCTAGATGAAAGAAAGCTACATAGTTTTATCTAAAGATGCAGGTTAATGTAAAAAACCCAACCAAATAAAAACCCACAACAACAACAAAAAGGAAACCAAATCCCAGCTTTTCAATTATGTATCCTTAAAACTTTGCCGACAACTTCTGTATAAAGATTATCATCAGGGAAAACTATCCCAGAATTAAAATCTAATGTATCCAATGTATAAATTTGTTGGCTTATAATAGATTTGCCAGACTAACTTTGTCAGAGGCTAAAACAGTAAAAGAAAAACCAGATTGTTAGATTGATTTTTGACAGAATTTTCTTCTATGTGAATACATAATTTCTCCTCTTTAGATTCATACCGATACTGCCATGGTCCTAGATAGTTTTAAGACTAACTTACTCCATCTTTAGAAGCCAATTTTAACTTCAGTCTACAGAGATCTTTCAAACTGAAGTGTAGGTTTCTAGGCAAGACCCTTTTTTTCATTAAATTACTGACACATTCTCAGAGATTCAGTGGTTCAAGATGGAGTTTAAAATCTGTCCGTGTACCTGTTTTGGTCAGTGCAAATTCACTAAAATAAAACTTATATTACAGCTTTTACAATTAAAGCTATATAGTTACAAGGAAAACTATAATAAGATAGGATTCTAGGTAACTATTTATTAGACTTTTTTTTTTTTGAGAAAAAAAGATTGATAGAACATTCTCCCATAAGGACCTGCACATCTGTCAAAACCAAAAGTGACAGAGTTAATTTACAGTAATTTTCCAACAGAAGCTCTTCTGCAAACTGGACTGGTTCCCACTTGCTTCCTAACTCTTAAGCAATGCATGTGGCAGACTGAAGGGAATCCTACTCTCAGGCAAGCCAGGAGACCTGGGAAGCAGAGCCTAAAACTGAGCTTCCAACATCCACAGTTCCATGAAAACCTATGTAATGAACGGGTTAACTTTGTTCATGAAATCGAGAAGGGTGAAGAGACATATTGAGAGTTAACATATGCCTTGTGTAAATAACAAAAACTTGCTTAAGTGATGCGTGAAGGTCACGGGTCACAGGAGGAAAGCAATGGCTATAACTTACTAGATAAGGGGGGAGGAAAGCAATGGCTATAACTTACTAGATAAGGAGAGGAAGGACAACAGCTGCAATTAACAAAGACTGTATTTCTCCACATCAAAAGACATTCTACATCAAAGGATACTCATCCTTGAGAAAATTTACCGAATCTACATAGTAACAGACCTGCACAAATGAGGAAAGAAGAAGCAGGACAAGGCGGAGACTTACAAGAAAGGGGGTACATGAAATGTATATAAGGAGTGTAACGGTAACATAAAGTTGCGGGCCTGTGGCGGAGCATTGCCTCCCCGGCCGCCCAGCGCTGTTTTGCTCTCTTATCGCTTGCTAATAAATTCGATTTTTTTTATTCAATACAAATTGGCTCCTCCAATTTGTCACGAGCGTTTATAACAACCTACAACAGATAATGCCTTGCAGTCAGAAATGCTAAGGCTTGCACAGTTCACTGCTCTCTCCCTTTCACATACAACTTTGATATTTAAGATTGCTACACATTTGAAGAGGAACAATGTTAAATATCAAAAGCCTTTCAGAAACAAATACTTTTCTTCATTCATTTATACTGTTCATTATCCCCATACTGTTTCCTTATACTTCCCCCCTACCACATAATTTTTCTTCTTGCATACAAAGCTTGCAAGATTTTTGTTATCTTCTCTTGAATCTACCAGAAACACAGTCATCTATAAAATAACAGCATATTCCAGTCTGGTTATTTTCCAATGTGATATGATCAATAAGGCTGAGACCACAAAGATCAGCACACACCATATCCTATAAAAGGTTAGGCTTATGTCCTGTCTGTGTTTTCAAAAGGGCTGTATTTTCTGCATCAGGAGCTCAGTATCTACAGACAAAATATCCGGCAATGATGGAATATCAAGTCCTTTCAGAATTTTTTAAAGGACATTTTTAAATCATAATTTCTCTTGAAGAATACATGAAAGGCTGAATACACAGTCCCTCTCAGAGGCTCTATACTACAGCTAATATTTTTGAGAACTTACTTTCTCAGGCTCATTTCTTAAAGTGAAATAGTGGTCTACAGTGATGCCTCCTCTCATTTCTCCCTTTGCTGACGCTAAACATTTTTTCTGTTGTTACCATAGGATGGCAATGCTGCATAGGCCTATTTTTTTTTTCCTCATCTGTGCCACAGTCATTGCTGTATGTGTAGGATAACTGCCTTTTCATAAAGATTTATGTCCACAAAGAGTCAAGCTGAAAAATCTTCCTGAGCTCACATGACCTATCAGGCTAGAATGGTTAAGATGTACAAGAAATTCTATAACTAAGGAGTATATAAACATGTATAAAAGGATAATAAGAAGAGCTGAACATAATCAAGTTAGTCAGTGGTAAATGGATAATTTTATAGTTTAAGTGTAAATGCTATCTTGGCATGTATCTGCATAACTCTTTCCAGCAGAGTACAATTAATGGCCCCACAGAATTTTTGCCAGTAAAGGAGAGAAAATAGCTTTGTACACAATTCTAAACACCAAAGTTCATGAGAATTAAGTTTGATCAGCTTTAGTTAGACAGTGATAAGGAATAAAAAACATGCATTACAAGAGGCCTAAAAGAGCTTGGCTTACTTAATGTACTAAGACAAAGTCTGAGAAACAGAGTATGATTAATTTTTATACACATATCAACAGAGCAAACCACTGAGAGAGGAAGTAGATTATATAACCTAACCAAAATTGTTCACACAAGCACAAATGGTTGTAGCTACTCATACGTACATTTAGACCAGAAATAAATAGAAAAAGATACTAACATGAATAGTTCAGTTCTAGATAGCCCTTCCAGAAGGAATGAGACCAAAATAAATGGTTATCTTTGAGACCAATTTATAATAGGAATTCTGTGACATAGCTGCCTGTGTCAGTAGGGAACTTCACTCAGTAAGTCAGCATCAATGACATACCAGTAAATGGAAGAAAATTAGTAAATCCCCGTAATTTGGTACTCTCAGCAAGCCAATGGTCTGAAGATGCAGGAAGGAACATATCTGGAATCTTGAGACAGAGAGTGAAATAGATATGTGGGTCACCATGAGAGAAAAAAGTAGGCATCTTGGGAGTTTGGTGGAGCTCAAAGAGTCTAAGTCATCCTGTGGAAGTGCTTTTCTCTCCTTTGCTTACAGGAGGAGTCTAGAGCAACTGGCTCACAAATAAGTTGCTCCAGTAAGCTGTAGAAGTTATGAGTTACATGAAATGGACAAGGGCCTCTGCCCCTGCTGCGATTCAGACCAGCTTGAACTATTATCATATTGGGCAGGAATTTGAGGAGCACAGAGATTTGCCTAGCAATAATTTGACCCTAACATATTCATGCATCCCTAAGGAAAGAAAAAAATCATCTTCTTGTGAGGACTTAAAAGCAAACAAGTTAACAAGCTAATCTATTTTTATGTAATTAATAAAGGTGGCAGTGTTCTTCACGTGTTTTCCACTACACTTACCTTAGAAAAACCCAAAGCACTGCAATTGGAAACACATCAGCTCAGGTTAGGCTCATGCTTAGCATGAATTAAGCATCACTCCACTGGCTTCAATGAATTAATAGCTATTTCTTCATCTTAATTTTTTACCAGTTCATACTGTTAACAGCAGATCTGTCATTTGCTTTTCTTTAAATTTTTGGGGTTTAGGGTTTATTTTTTTGGTGGTTGGTTGGTTTAGGGGTTTTTGTTTCGGGTGGGTTTTTTTGAGAAAAATAAAAGGTAAACTGCTATATCACTTTTGGTGAAAAGAACAAGATGCAACTGATTGATGTTAGTTAGCAGATGCTTTGCTTCACAAATGTGTGGTACATTTATTCTAGGTGGAACCTCATTTGAAGTAGTCTCTACAAAGCCTGTTTTATTCTAAATCATGCTATAATTTTATACAGTTTAACAAGAGCAATACATGAAAAGCATCAGTTTTAGTCTAATTTCACTACTGTTTTAGCTACTATTCCTGGTAAAAATGAGAAAGAGGTAATCACATTGTTCTCCTTGCTTAACAGTAAAAAAAAGTATGTGGAAAAATTCATTGATGATCTTCATCATAAATATCCTAAAATCATTACAGAGTGGGGTTTTTTGTTTGTTTGGAAGTTTTGGTGGTTTTTTGTTTGTTTGGAAGTTTTGGTGGTTTTTTGTTGTTTTTTTTTTTTACGGTTTTATACT